AAATGATAAATGCTGGAGAGGATGTGAAGAAAAAGTAACCCTCCTACACTGTTGGTGCGAATGCAAGTTGGTGCAGCCACTATGTAGGACAATATGAAGGTTCCTTAAAATACTAAAAATAGACTTACTGTATGATCCAGCAATCCCACTCCTGGTCACGTATCCAGAGAAAAATATAATTCAAAAAGACACATGCACTCCAGTGTTTATAGCAGCACTATTTACAATAGCCAAGAAATGTAAACAACCCAATGTCCACTGACAGATGACTGGTAAAGAAGTTGTGGGGTACACAGTGAAATACTACTCAGTACTCAGCCATAAAAAAAGAATTAAAAAATGCCATTTACAGCAACATGGATGGATTTGGAGATCATCATTCTACGTGAAGTAAGCCAGAAAGAGAGAGAACAAATATCACCACTTATATGTGGAATCTTACAAAAAGGACACAAATGAACTTACCTACAAAACAGAAATAGACTCACAGACATAGAGATCAAACTTATGGTTGCCAGGGGTTAAAGGGGGTGGGAAGGGATAAATTGGGAATTCAAAAATTACACCTCTTGGGGACTAATGGAAATGTTAGCTATCTTGATTGTGGTGGTGGTTTCATGGGTGTGTACATCTGAAATACGTGCAGTTTACTGTACAGGCACCATGCCACAATAAAGGTGTTTAAAAAAAAACCAAAATATTTTGGGAAGACAGATCACTTTCATGGCATACATCTTACAAAAGTTGTCAAGTAGAAGAGAGAACTAAAAATATCTACATATATTTGTGTTAGTTAGTGAAAGATATTAAGACGTTAAAAGTTCCCTTTGAGATGATTTCCAGGCTTACCATAACTGGATGGTCTTTTGCGTAGATCCAGTATAGGATGGAATCATTTGAGTCTTCCAATGTTGGAATCCCTGTGGAGGAATCCCAGGACAGTTCTGAATCACAATTAACCCTTCCTTACAGTAAGATTACAAGAGCGTCCCACTATCACTTACCTGGGGTTAACTTTATTATTCATGAAGCTGTTATTCAGGCAATCTTTGTCCATTTTCTACCATTTGAAAACCAATTAGTCTTGCTTATTTTCTCCTGCAAGTCATTTACAAATGACACTATCGGGGAGGGTAGTTCACAAAGATTGGCAGGACAGTGTCTTTTATTAAAAAACATAAATCCTCTGAAAGAACTAATATACCCTTAGGAAAGAGCCAATGCTGAAACATTTTAAAAATCCCTGCAGTTGACTAGAAATGACATTTAAACTAAAGGCCCAGAGAGATTTGACAGTGCTCTCTTGAAAGCATTATGACAGGAACTCCTTTATTTCTATGAATTTTATATGAACAACATTTTTCTTCCCTTGAGACTGACAGTTACTGAAAAGTAGATATGTCCTCTTAGTTCAAAATGAAAACAACCGTTAGTATTAGATAAATGTTTCTTTTCCTTTTACTTCATCTGTTTTAAGTTAATAACCCTCAGGGTAAATATGCCTAGAATGTAAACAAGGTTTTTTTCTATAGCTAATATTACTCATAATAGGACAGTATGTCAGATTCACCTAATTCATTGTCAACTACTTAACGTATTCTGCAGATCAGTTATCACACTGCTTCCCTAGCTTATAATGACACAAAACTAGAACTGTCCTGAGCCCATCATATTTTTCATGCACTTCCCCAGTTAATAACCTTTCATATGTTCAGAAAGATGTAACTGGACAAGCATAGGAAAGAAAACAAATGATGAAGAAAAAATATTATACTTAGAATATCTTAAATGGGGATCTAAATATCCAGAAGAAATTGTTTTAGTAATGTGGATTTTTCCCATTCAGAATAACTGGAACAATTTTCTGTTAAATAATGACAGTACACAAAGTGGCATCCCTTTGTCTGAAATGTGCGTGAATATATTCATACTTATTTTTCACCATACCAATGACTAGAGCAAAAATGAACATCTCAGATAATAAAGCAATATTAATTGTCCCCATTTTGAGAATATCTATGCAGTGTTTAAGTCCTAACCATTCTAGATTTAAATTTTCATGGTTTACACTACATCTTTTTTTTTTTCCCATTGAAGGGTTGATAAACATGTCATTGATAGCTACCATCCTTAGAAATGAAAGCAACTGTTTTCTTTTATCCTTGGCATTTTATGTTCTCTAAGGTGTCTACATTTTCTCATGAATTATATGAAACCACTATTTCTTTCTTACTTGTAAAACTGTTGATGCTGTGATGAATTCTGAGGTATGCATTATTGCATATCAATTTCAGATATTATCTTCAAGAAGATATATAGAGAAGTTGTTTGAAGAATTTCACTTTCAACAGGTCAGAAACTTGATTTTAAAGATTTTTAGTAAGACATAGTTATCCCGTTTGTCACTAAAATTAGGAAAAGGCTTTTGGTAGTTTTAAAATATGCTTCCCTAATTAATAAGTATTATGCATAACTCAAATATTGATAGTAACTAAAATGTATAGTAATTAAAAATAGCATTTTCTTTAAAGCTAACAGTTAATTTCACTTAGTTTTCAAGTTAAAAATCCAAAGAGATACACCTAAAACTTTGGTATGATATTTTCAATGGATATCAAACAAATGGAAATAAAATTAGAAATACAGCAATAGAAGAGACTGAAAAACCAAAGTTCAGGCTCCTGGCTGTTTACACACTGTTGTGTTGATTAAACTTTTGTAGAATGCAGCTAAGATAATATGTAAAATAATGTCATTCAGTTGTTAAAAAATAGCACATACTTACAAAGGGGAAAATTTCTAATTCAGAACATTTTAATTCAGTTTGGAAAGCAACAGAATCAAAATAAAGCCTAAGGCCTAACAGGGATAGCAACAGCAATCTATCTTTCATGGTTTTGTTCTTAGTATTTCTCTCCTATTGTACACCTTAAAAATACATTTAGCACTTCTCCCTTTTATTAGTTCCTAAAAAATTAATCTCTGAGTTCTCATCACTTGTGGGCAATAATTTGACCTGGAAAGTAAATTAAGAAAAAAATTTACTCATTAAAGGTATTCTGTGAAATTCAAATGAAGCATAGCCCAGGAATATTGACTGAACCGCTTAATGTGTACCAAGAAATATGGAGCTTGGGTGGGTAATCATCTGCAAGCCAGGTAAAGTCTATTTGTGTTATGAGTTTCAAGATTTAAATATGTTAAAGCCTCTGAAGGGTTGTGTTTTCTGAACTCCTAGATGAATAATCATTCTCGATTCAAAAGATCTTCTTTCTTCCTTTCTTGTTCTGCCTCTTAGAGTAAGACTTGAGTGAGAGAAGTCTTAGCTAGATTATCTATGCATAAAAACTATATGTATTAGTCAGTAAGAAGTTCTGGAAGAGAATGGGCGGAAAATTCAGGAGTCAGTGTCATACGATGAATGAATGCCCAAGAGGAGAAAATTAACCTGGAGGCAGTTAAGGCTAAATGAGGTCATAACGGTGTGGTTATGCACCCTTGTAAGAAGAGAAAGAGACACCAGCGATCCCTCTCCAAGTGCACACAGAAGAAAAGGCCAAATGAGGAAACACATCTGTAAACCAAGGAGAAAGGCCTCACCATAAACCAGTCCTGCTGATACTTGCTTTTGGACCTCAACCTCTAGAACTATGAGAAAAGGAATTTCTCTTATCTAAGCCACCTAGTGTGTGGTATTATGTTATGGAATACTGAGCCGACTAATATACCATCAGACACAGTGCTAATCCCATATATTTTAATACATGCCAAATGGCCCAGGGGCATATTCTAGAATAGCTTCTGGAATAGGGCTTTTTTGTTTTCATACTGATTACTGAGCGGTAGGTAGGAGCATGTGAGCTTGGAAAGTCTTTAACATAGTCTCCAAAGGGGGACTCACAGTCAGACATACAGTGACAGTGAGGTGACAGAAGAAAATCAAGTTGATGAGGAAGAATTTGCCCATGGCTACAGAAGCCAGGAGAGGGGAGTCAGCATGGCACCAATCCCTCCTGTCTCTACTACTTGAGGACAAATATCATAGCATATCTCTCTGTCTTCTTTTACATCATTAATTATTTTATACCCTTATCATCCCCACAAGACACATGCTGTTATTTATCTCTTCTACAATAAATGTATAATACTATAAACAAAAACTTATGCTGAAACCACTTTCTTTAGCTCCATAACTCTCTCTTCCTTCTATAAGGAAAAAAAATCCTTTAACAGGGTTCTTAAACCTAGTCTACTCAGACATTCTTTCCCATCAGTCTGCTGTACTCCACTATCCAAGGACACCAATAATCTCCGTATTATTTAAACCATTATTTAATTCTCAGTTCTAATTTTACTTGACTTAACAACAGCATTTATTAAGGTTAATCTTTATCTGACTTCTAGGATACTACTCTTATTTCGCCTCTTACCTCTTTAGTGCTTCTTGGCCTCATTTTCTCAATTTTCCTATTTTCCTAGACCTTCTAAGACTAACTTAG